TTTGGTTTGGTTTGGTTTTGTTGTTATTCAGAATCTAGTGCAAAAGCATTATTATGCCTCTGATTTAGAAATTTGAACTAGGGAATTAAGAACATAATCTTATAAGTCAGCACTGAAAAAACACCCGTATAAAACTAGATAAAGGTTAAGATTGGATACCAAGCTGAAATTCCAGGGTGGGGTCAATTTCAATCAGCTTCATAAAATTTTTTTTGATGTGTTTCTTGTTTTTGCCATCTTCATGCATGGCTGTGTGACATATTAAAAGATTAACCACTTGCTAAACTTTCGTTAAGACAAGAGGATTCCTAATTCCAACCCAAGAGCATTAGGGGAGCAATTTCTATTTTATTCTCTCAAAGAATTTGTTAGCTACAAATAGCTACAAGTTATTACATTCTCTAGACATAAGTGATGGACATAAACTTGGAGAAAACATACTAGGAAAGAAAGAATTTTAGTAACATGAACATGTCATCTTCCATTTAATATAGGGCATGGCATGTGCCAGAACAAGATAAGCAAGCTAACCAGAATTTCAACACCTTCTAGGTGTCAGGGATTTTCACCTTTATTACTAACACGTAAGTCCTCCTCTTTCACCTCCCAAACTCTGGCCAAGGCTGAGACTGACACTGCAGTGATCAGGGGCAACTCTCCTGCTTTTGAAAACTAATCACCCTCTACACAGCTAAGTACTCGGCACAGCTGTGCGTTCAGCAACACCGAAGGGCTCCGCAGAAGTCATGCTTTAATCATTGCTGTTTTAAACGTAAGCTTAAATTGCATTTTCCAGCTAAGGAGTGTTTTCAACTATCTTTCCTATCTCGCTCACAGAAGAAGGTTCTCAGGCCAGCTTGGCAACTTTGAGCAATTCAGTTGATCTGGAAATCTTTCAGCTCCCTGGTCAGCATTCTTCATGTTCAAATACAGGTGCCAAAACTTTCACTGAGCAACTGAACTACTGCTGAACTGCCTCTCTCACCTGCTACTGTCACTGAGGTCCAAGTACCACTAGCTTAGAGCTACTTCAGGAAAAGGAGTGTCAAGCCACAGGTTGCAAAGTGACTGCTACAGGTGCCTTAGCACTTTCAGTTAAGGTCAGTGCGAGACTTTTCACCCAGCAGCAGCTTGGAGCCTGTTGGATGGCCCAGTTAAACCAGGGATTTAGCTCAGGACTAACATCATACTAGGGTAATCCATACACCCAGAGTTACCACACACTCACTCTGCTGGAAATATAACTGTCAACAGTGCCCACTTTCGCTATCAATGTTGTGCCAGTTTGGATCACTGTATGTCATGTTGATTATGCGCATTAAAGATAAAGAGACTAGAGTGAGGCGTATCTTCAACCAAGACATCTGTACAGCTAAGGTTCATAACTCACTTTTCTTCCCATCTGCCAGTGGCCAGCAATTCCACTGCTAAAGCTTCCAACCATAACCTATTTTACCTCTAGTATTTAATCACAGCATCAGACACAAAGAAAGTAATTTTACAATTGTGTGAAATGGATAATGTCAAATTATAAGGCACATTGCTTATTCATACAATCCAAAAATATTTCTTGTATCCCTACTGTTGGCAGGCATTGTGCTGAGAAATGGGGATCTACAATGAAATTGGTATAACCTTGTCTTCAAGGAGATAACAGGCTCATGGAAAGACTGATTTAAGGCACAATTTTAGTAAGGCCAGTAGTCAAAATTTCATGTACTATAAGAATGTACAGAACAACAAATTAAAACATCCTTGAGAAATCTTGAGAGAACTGTTAGGAAATAGGCATACCTAAGGAGAGGGAATAAAGTAGAGCATAGCTCTTCTATGTACTAAGCACAAGCAGACAGTGCGGAGTCTTCAGCATGGCTGGAGTACAGACAGGAGGAGGTGAGGCTGTGGGAACCTGAGGAGCACTGAGCAGGCCATACCGACCCTGGGACCAAAATGGACTTTATCCTGGGAGATATCCATGGAGAACTAGAATAAGACTTTACACCAAAAGTGTGACTTGTTCAAATGTGGAGGTGGAATGATTTCTCTGGCTACCATATCATGACTATAGGAAGTATTTTTCATTCTTAGCAGAGAAGAGGCCCTCACTGTTGTGTTTCATTTGAATGCACTGAATCCTCCCTGGAGAACTTCTTGATAAAGTCAACCATGACTAAAGAGTGAGACACTCGGGATTCAGTTATGAGTTCCAGGGCTTCATTTTCTGGTGCCCTTGTCCAAACCACACTAGGCTGACTTGTACCTCAATTTCCTTGTCTATAAAATATGGACTATCATTTTCACCTTTCACACCAGGCGGTGTAAGGATCCACTAATGAAAAGCAGTCAACTTAGACAAGTATTACAGAAATGCTTACGATGTCCAAAAAACAGCCTGGAAAGATGAAATGTGTGTGTCAAGTGTTTGAGTGTGCAGTGGGAGGTTTTAGCTAAGATTTAATGATCGGGAGGCTCATTTTCACTAGGGCTGTCTGTGCCAGCTCAAATCCAAGGGTAGGGTGTCAGACTTGCTCGCCAATTAAGAGCAGATGACAATCTGAAATCATCTCTGCTCAAAAGAAGATTCACTTTCACAGGACGCCTTCTCTGAATCTGCTAAGTCCAGCCCATTTCTTATAAAACCGCATTCAGAAAACAGGAAAATAATGTTGAAGGGGATTTCTGGGGGAAAACAAAGTGTTACTTTTTAAAATGGTCATAAAAAAATTACAAGAGAGATTGCTGAGTCCATTTCACCTTCAGACATTGCAAAATGCCAAACATTTTAGTTTGAAAAGTTTCATCAATTGTAATAACCATGATTCATTGATAGCTGGCTATGTGCAAGGTGCTATTCTAAGTATTCTACAAGTGTGAGCTCACAAGTTCCTCACAACAGAGTTCTAATTCTTCCCTATCATATCTTTTGCTTCAATACTTGAGTTTGGACAGATTAAGTCCCACCTAAACAGCAGAGGTTGAATTGCAACTCAGACTGGTAACAATCTAGTTTGTGCCCATAGCCTCTGTACTGCTTAGCTACAAACTGTGAAAAGGCCTGTCCCCTGCCATCTCCTGCTGTGTACATTCCCACCCAACCCAGCCCTGCTTCGTAGGTCATCACTGGCATGTGGTGTTGCTGTTTTCAAAATGTGAGTCACTCAAGATGAAAAGGTTCATTTATTTTAGTGGATGTGTGTCAGTGACACTATCTTTTAAAAATACATCATGACAACTTTCACATCACACAAAATCCCTCCATTGGGTTGTGCCAATATGGCCCTGGAAGGGAATGAGTGATCTGTCCCACAGCAAACATTCCCTCAGGAGCACCTGTTGATGGTTCATATCAGGTGTTCGACACTATGAGAACAAACCCAAATACTCTTCTGAGAAACAGACCCAACAGTAGAGAACAGAAATATACACCACTTAATGGGCCCCACCATGGCTTGGACTCATAAACCAGATCATTTCTTCTTGCCATATCACACCAAAAAACACTGGCTGTGAAGGTTGTAGCAAATAGTTTCTCTTTCTGTTAACAGCATGCTGAATTTTTTTCTTTTAATTTTTTTTAATTCATTAAGTTTATCAGTACATTTCAGGTATACAGTATGATGACTTTCATCATTGGGAACTTGTATTTTTACATGATACATCTTGGTTCTTATTTTTTCCCCATTCCCCTGCCCTCCCTTCAACCCCTCCCTATTTACAAAGACTTTGTTTCCTTTTCTCATACTTATTTCTTTTCTTTCTTTTCTTTCCCCTAACCCTCCCACTTCCCCTTCCCTTTTGGGCCTTATCTTCCTATTTCACATTAGCTATTCTACATTTTGATCCTTATTTACACTTTCAGTTCCTCACACCAGAGAAACTATTTGGTATTTACACACGTGTGTCCTATTTATTTCACTGAAGAGTATGGCCTCAATGTTCATCCATTTAGCTATAAATGTCTCTAATTTCTCATTTTTTATGGCTGAGTAGTACTCCATTTTATTTAAAAAAAAAAACACGTTTTCTTTATCCAGTCTCCAGTTGATGGGCAATTGGGCTGTTTCCAAGTTTTAGCTATTACAATCTGTGCCACTATAAATGGATGCACATATATTGCTGTGGTATGATTCTTTTAATTCTTTTGGGAAGGTACCCAACAGGGGAATAGCTGGGTCAAATGGAACTTCTAATCTAATTTTTTTGAAGTATCTCTATATGGATTTCCACAGTTTGTTTAAAGCTGAGATCCATGCAAGTTTCACAGCTATATCTCAGAGTTTTTCCAAAGATATAGTTCTAATTCATTTCAGAATATATTTTAAAAATTATTTTAAGGGAGAGGGAAAGGAGAGGAGGGGAAAGGAATGAAAAAAGATCTGAGATATGTTATATACATGTACTAACTCCCCATAAGGAATGTGAGCATTCAGTACCACAAACATATACTAATAAAAATTAAAATTGAGCAAAAAATATTTGAGGCATTTTAATTATCAATCAATTTAAATTCATTTCAAATTAAAATTAATTTTAAACATTTTCAAATTCACCACACACACACACACACACACACACACACACACACACACACTGAACCCTAAACTGTTGTATCAAGCTCTTATTCAGATCAATCTTATCCACAATGTGCCCCAAATCACCTAACCATAACAATCTTCAGCCTACCCTAGCTCTATTCTCCCAGTGGCTCAGCTTTTTTCTTTGGACTCATTTCACCCCTCACATATCCTCTCTAAATGCAGCCTCACCACGTCCCCTGCCCTGTTCCATCCTGGTCACCATCATGTTTCACTTCCAGTACTGCAGGAGTGTCCCACTTACTTTTCTTTCATCCAATCTTTCCCTTACAGTCTGCTCTCAACCCCGAAGTCAACGTGACCCTTCTGAAGCTAAGTCAGTTCATTTCTCTTAAAATCTTTCAATAGTGTCTCACCAATTCAGAGACACGTTTATTCTCACGTCATAATAGCTCCTGACGACTCGCTTGTCGAGTCCCACCATGCTTTCTGCCATGAGCTTCCTACACAGTCCTTTTTTGTGAGCTCACTAAACTCATCCTTAAATAAGTCCCCACGTGCAGAACATTTATCAGGTCACCCTGAGGTGACCTCAAGAGCTGTCCTCTGAACTCATCGTCTGGGACTGCCCTTGCTCACTGCACGACAGCCCCCGCGACTCCTGGCTGTGCTCAAACACACAAGGTGTGCTGCTGCCTGGCGTCCTCGCGTGGGACATCTCTGCCTCCTCTCCCCAGGGAGCAGGTTTCTCTCACTTGCTTCATGTCTTTGCCTGGTAAGGAAGGCCTTCCCTAACCACTGTCTAAAACTGCAATCTCTCACCTCACCCCAGTACTTTCTAGTTCGTATTCTTTGCATTATTTTTGTCTGTAACACTTACCACTACCTGAAAACTACCTACTTAGTATATATTTACTGCCTGTCTCCTTAACTAGAATTTGATGCCCATATGTTGGAGATATAGATTTCTCTTATTCTACTGTTCTATTGCCCAAGACAGTGCATATGTGACATTCAACAAACATTTGTAGAAGAAAGATATAAAATAAAGCAGGGTAAACAAATAGCACAACTTTAGTAGGGCAGTGAGCTTTGACTATTTCAATGCAGACAGTTTGAAAAGGCCACTGTGACACTTCAACCTGGTTGTTGATGAGATGGCAGCTATGCAAAGATCAGAGGACTGAATGTTCCACACATGGAGACTTATTTAAGGGAGAGTTTGGCAAGTTCATTAAAAAAAAAGGTCTGTGTAGGTAGCTCATGGTAGAAAACATGGTAGGAATCATCAAGAAAGTTGTCAGAAGCTATATTCTTTATGTTGTGAGAATAAACTTGAATTTTATCCTTCCAGATGTGGTGAGTTTTGGAGGAACATTCACTACCATCACATTTATCATTCACATTTATAAACAACAAATTGTTTCCTGCATAACATAAAAAAATCTCAGGATGATATGAAGAAGAGGAACAGAAGGGAAGTCAAAGGAAAAAAGTCAACCCTAGAGGGGCCTTACAGCCAGCCCTAGAAGTAAATGATTTCAGTGAACAAGCAACCACCAGCCAGACAAGATCACTCATATCTTAGGGGCAACAAAATGAATGGTTGGTTGGCCATGGTAGACCAGATGTCTCTTTCCCCTTCCTGTGTGGACACTACATAAATTCTTAGAGATATGGTTATAATTTCATAAAATGGAAAAAAAGACTTTGAACTACCTGAATTTTACCTCAAGCTGGAGTAACAGGTGGATTAAAATACAAAATCAGTCCAGTTAAAGAAAAGCAAAGTTTTACATTCCTGATTAAATAAAAAATTTCATATATACCATGTATAAATGGTTTAGTACCTAGTGAAGTTTAGATCTTTTTTAAATGACAAGAAATGTGAATAACTCCTCTACTTACATAATTATGACTCTACTTTAAAACAAAATTTCCCTGCTACTCTCTTTTCAGGCTTTTACTTTGCTTTATTTGAAGCATATTTAAAGAAATGGAAGGCAAGTTTTTAAAAAGTTACTATCTGCAACTAAATATATGAATCAGGATTTCTTGATACAGTGTACCCAAAATAAAATAGAGCTATAAACTATATGCTGAAGAAACCAATATAGGACTGTTCTGTGGCACCTGAGTGAAGATTTTATAATTATCCAAACAAGGTTGTGCTGTTATTAATTCAATTTTTAATAATTGTGTGCATTTAAACTTTAAAACTACTTTTATGTTTAAAAAGCACTTTAATATTATTTATATATTTCATAAATTGAAAAGATTTGAAATTTTATTCAAAAAATGCTGCCCCTAAAATGTTTTTACATGCTACTCTTCTATGTGACATAGTTTTCATTTAAATTACAATATTTTGGCAAATATAACTCTTATAAACCTATATATATGTAACCTATAGAGACATAACATACAAAAAATCTCTCATATAACTTGTATATATAACATATATAGTATAAATGATATAGCTTTTCTAAATTATTTTTTATTTTATCTTAATACTTAATAGTTTAATACTTAAGCTTAAGACTCATAATAACTATTGCTTGATTGTCACTCATGCAAGTAACAGTACCAAGACTATATTTATTATCTCTTTTCATACTCTCCTCAATTCTGTGAAGCAAATTCTGCTCTTATATCACTATAAAACTGCGAAAACTGAGACTTACATAACTTTCCCAATGTCAGAAAGTTAAACTCTGGTGGAGTTATTTGACTTCAAAACCCAAATCCTTAATCACCAAAGAGTTTTTTTCCAGTAGTCTCTCAAAACCTAATTCACAAAAGATAAACAAAAAAACTCAAACATTAAATTAAGAATATAAAACATGAGATACTGAGGTACTTTAGAAAGTGCTGGAACTTTATCCATGGTTGTGAGCTGCTTTAAAGCCACACAGCTCCTTCCTCCTGCTTCACCATGGCTGCAGCCTGTGGCAGGAGAACCAGAGCACAGAGGAAGTGAGTTACCTGTGACACAACCAACAACATAACCACAGCAGAATAGACTAACTTGAGATACCAGAAACAAGCTGAAAATCTGCCTTTATTATGAGGCTAATGAAACCAGCAGAGCACAGTTGGAGGAGGAAAAGCTGGGTCTTACCCTCCAAAACAGACCAGTTCAAGGGTTATCTGATGAAGTGCAACAGCACTTGCAGGAAGAGCCTAAGTGTGGGATGTCATCTCTGGAGGGGTTCATGCCTTGGGGATCTTACACTACAGTACACACTCTTTCTGTGTTCTTACCAACATCTATCATGTCCCCAGGTGTAACCACCAGATCCCAACTTCATTAGGACAAAGGGACTAGAAAACTCCTGGAATGCAGAAGTTGTGCAAAGCAAGAGTCCATGCCAAGTGGTGGGCTCCGGGTGAATAGCAATCAAAGCAAGCTACACTGAGCTTGTTTTCTGATTTGTAAACTGAAGATAGCATTTCCTGTTAATGTGAATATTAAATGAGGTAAATATGTAAATCTCTTACTTTTCCTCCTTCCTTGGGTCTCTCCTCTGGCTACAGGTTCATTTATCCATGGACACAGACATGCCTAGTTGACACCCATATTAGATATCCAATATATATTGCTAATATAGCATGATTAAAAGTTGACTTCTAGTCTCCTCTCCAAGTTGTGCAATATCCATGAACTTCACCATGTCAGCAGATGTCAATGCATGCCAAAAATCTTGGAATCATTCTTAAATCCTATCTATCTTTGAATTGTATGTGCCAATTCCTCAGGGAATCCTGTCATCTTTCTTATTCAACACAACATTCAAAGTCACACTTTCCCAAATCGACATCAGATCGTGGCTCTGCTCTGCTCAAAATCCTACATGCTCCCCTACTCCAATCTCAGGGAGTGAAGGACCCACCAGGCTCTTCCTCCCTTCTCTCTCCCCACAGCAGCCACACTGGAAATCCCTGGCACGATCTCACCTGGGGCTGTTTGCTCTGCCCACAGTCTCTGCTTGGAAGGGCCTTCTCCCAGGTATTGCTGGGCTAATTTCATACCACATCAAGTTTTCAGTCAAATATCTCCCTAAACTTTGTTCCTTTCTCCTCATGTTGTCCCATGAAGGTTAGGTCATTTGCCAAAGAAGGCACTAAAAATTCTTAAGTTTCTCTGACTAGCTATAAGAGCAGAATCCAGAAGCTTCTTCGTTCCTGAATATAAAAGACTTGAGACAAATCCCAAGGTTTTAATATCTCTGAAAGCATTTCACACTTTATTTTTTTAAATTCTTTTATTGGTACATTGTAGGTATACAATATGTTTACATTTATCATTGGGTGCTTGTACCTGTACGTGATATATCTTGGTTTTATTTTTTTCCCCATTACCTGTGCACCCTTCACCCCCTCCACCCTTCCCTATTTACATAGATTTCATTTCCATTTTTTTTTCTTTTCTCATAATTTTTGCTTTCCCTTCTTCCCTTTCCCCTTCCCTTCCCACCACCTGTACACCTTTG